GAGTAAATTGTGATGAGCTATTGTGTGGCTAGAGTAAACTGTACAATTTTGGCTAACTAGCAAATTCATTTATCGAGTTGTCATTCTTTATTGTTAAATAGATTCAGTTACAACTGAACACAAATTAAAATCTTAATGACACTGTTTGAAAACAGCTCAACAATATGGTAAACCGATATACCTACTAGAATACTGAAAAAAAAAACAAAATAGTCGTACTATAAGTCAATTTTCCAAAGAGTCGAGTATTTGCAACGAATTGTGACTTTATTGAGTCTTTCAGAGAGAAACGCACAAACGGTCGACTCGCACAGGTCACCGATAGTCGCCATGGAGCCACTCGTACTCACATACCAACAACGTGGCTGGGTTCATACAATTCGTTCCGTTCGACAGTGCGGAATGTTTTATCTGTCTTTTTGTTTTCCTTTTTTATTTGCTTTCAAATTCCAGGATTTTCAAAGGGTGGAAAGGTATTGTTGAAAAACTGTTTTGCTGTTCCTACTGTGCGCTGTGCAGTAGAACGTGAGATTTAATATTGGACTGGAGTTTTGTCGACTGAGCCAATATTGAAGTAATTATAATGTCAAAATTTACAATAATTGAAAGCGATTTGAAAATGTTGACTTGGAACGTAGAGTTGTCCGCATTACTACATAAACAGAATTTTCTAGAATAACTTGCAAAATAATTTTATTTTATATTTTAAGAAGCGTAGTACTGACCGCAGCTCGGCTTAGTCAGAGCGAGTCATGACGACAAAACGGGTTAGGTGATGCGTCATATCAGCGGAAAGTAAGAGGTCGTAAGTGCCTGCGCACGCGCGTCTCTTAGTTGAACAATAGCATAGAATACTAAGATTGAATGTGCAAAAAGTTATGATATTCTATGTGATACACCAAGTCGTTAAGGTATTTAATTGTGTACCGTTAGAGACATTCAGTACGAACAGTTTGTTATAAAATGTTGTAGGATTTTATATTGACTGTTAATGTGCACAAAGATAATATTAGCAAATTGAAATTATTAAGTAATAATCCTTCACCGTAATCCTTCAAGGTACAAATCGCAATCGCATAGAATAATAAATTTAGTTCATAAATATGATGTGCCAAAGTAGCCAGTTAATGTTTATTTTGCATCATCCGTTTCCGTTTCATTCATAGTATTTATTACCCTTGTTTTCCGAAGTATCGTAGTTATTATGAAACACGTAACTTTATACGTGGTTATTGTGATGTTTATTTACCTACCGGACCATTAATCCGATTGTATTTGTTCGTATCAGCGGTTCACTTTAAAAGCGAAACGTTTAATACCCTTTTTCATAAGCCAGTCCGGAAAATCCAATGAAGATCCGATCGCTTTGAAATTATATTTTTTACTTCAAGTCAGACGATAACATTGTAGGTACAGCAAACGTAAATTGAAAACATTCTTTTTTGGCTAATACACTTACATAAAGTCAAAGTATTTAAATAATACAAATACTTGGCAGAATTTACCAGAGAGTTGGCTGGTGTAATAAGTAGAAGTATGCGTTCGTGGATACACTGAGTAAAGAGGTTGATTTTGAAATAATATTCGAAAAGATAGAGATCAGTTATTAACAAGCGTATAATATTACAATACGAGAACTTAGCAGTGTAATTGTGTATGTACATGCTCACGCTCGTGGTCCCGATTGAATTATTTAACGAGTCGCCTTCGTCGCCACCTGTCAGGGTATTATGTTACGGTTTACTACTAAATAATACCTACTTTAGCTAAGACTTTGTTAAGCAACAGTGTTAGTGCAATCCCATGCGATGTAGATGTGATTAAAGGTTGCCTCATATCTAGATTAGGATATACCTGTGTTTATTTTCATATTAACCTCGGTTATACGCTTACCATTTTATTTTACATATCTGAACAAACATTAAATAGACGTTGAGGTAATTTATCAAGTGAATATTTTCATACAGCTTAATTTAAGATCTACGACTTAGGTTCTATTCAGAGAACAGTCCTGTCCAGTAATAGTTAGAATGTTTAGCTCCCATAGGTGCATTATTACTTATGGTTGCACGGAGGCTCTCGCTAATAGGTGGAAAGGAAACTCATAATGTGGAAACGCATTACATCGGGCTAATGAACAAAGCTTTTAAATTAAAATGCAGTGCGGTTAATATGTAAGTGCCGGTTTATTAACAGGATTACAGTCGTGGATTGAGTTATATTATCTATGTAGTAAGGCTCTGAAAAAGTACAATGAACAAACAAACTTAATAAAAGAGCATTTAAGGTAGGTATAAGGATTTTATATTTTATACGTGCCACACACGCGGATTATCCCCGCAAGCGAGTAAATTCAAGTTGCGCCATATTTATAACGCATGTTGCGCAATATCATATGGGAAACACGCATGCGTGTCAAATGCAAAATAATATGGTGTTATAATTTGTTTATAATGTTTTATTTTTTACATCATTACATTATTGTTGTTTGAAAAACCTTAAGGTCGGCCGTATTATACCTACATATTACAAATGTAAATTATGATTGATGAAGAAGAAAACGAGATAGAACATGAAAACAATAATCAAAAAAAATTCGCAGCTGCATACACAAATAACGCTCATAAAACAAACATTTTAGTAAAGCAGTACAAAAAAATAAACAAACCTAATATTATGCAACAATCGCATTGCGCTGCTATGCTTGCACGTCAACTTATCATTTATTACATAATTATTATTGCTTGTTTTTCATTACAAGTTAAAATAAAAATGTAATAAATAATATGTGATGGATATAAAATCCAAATGGTCTGAGCGGTCACGAGTTCCGCGTTCAACGTTAATTACTTTAATCAAAAGTTGCAATAGGTTTCAAACCAACGACTGGGAAAATGAACGCAAAATTCGGGAACGCTTATGACTACCCGTGCTGTAAAACAGAATAAAACAAACACAGAACGTATCACAAAAGAATTTTAAATAAAAATCAAACGAAACTAAAAGTGAGCAAATAAATCGGGGATTGTTCAAATACAAAAATATTTTCGATTTGTTCAACTATTCTTGTATCAGATATGAATAATATCGGTATCGATCAAGATATATTTTTAGTGCGTTGCGTGAGTCGAAAGCACGTCCGCGACACAAGTACTTAATGCATTTTTTTCGCATTATTTTAAACATTATTTAGAGAAAATATAATATTAATTTTAACCTTTAACTTTCATACTAAATAGGACTGTTCTCATTATTCTGCAATCACACTTAATATATTGATTAAATGAGGGTATTTTCTTAGCTACAGGCATTTCGGCCGTGATTATAGATACCTAACTAATAAATAGGCACCGAGGTCGAGCAGTTCGAAATCATTTTCGAACTACTTATTGGCAATTAAGACTAGGGCTCATATTTTTTTTCCTTTGTCGTTAGTAGGCGCGACTGCGACCACCTAAAGATAACTATGTATGTATACCGCTAGGTAAGAAGAGATAGCATTTGAACTATGTGTGTTGTAATTCAATTAATTACAGACCCATTTTAATTACGACAATTTCTTTATAAATATATAATATTTATAATTTAAACACAATTATTAATGGAACATTAAATATCATAAATTATCATTAAATAATAGGTATATAATAATTGTATTGTTGCAGCTATCTGATAAAAGTAATTGATTTTATTATGTACATTATTTTATTGATTTAGTTATTGATTATCCATCGATAGTATTATCATATTAAAATTATATTATATGGTGTATTATATTTAATTGCCCTGTATTTGTGTTTTACCATTGCATACCTAATTTTTTTAATAGTGGAGAACATTCTGTCTTTATCTATTGAACAAAAATAAGGAAGATGTTTGTAATACAAATAACCATTTTGAACGGAGTCCAGATTACCAAGTGATGTTATTGTATTATGAGTCCGTGCTATTCTTTACAATACATCCCCTTATGTTATTGAAATCACATAAAGAATGGGCCAGAAACAACTTATTTAAAAATTACTTGTATTTTTTTTCTTCTGATGTTTTATTTCTAAATTGAGTAGGGTTTTAGTTATTTTCTTAGAAGAACACCCAACCTTTGTATGTGTATCTTATAAGAATTTCTCACTAGACAACACATGTTTTAAATAAATCATATATTACTGGCTTAATGGCATCATTATTTTAAAAAAAGTTTGAGAAATTGTATAAACTGCTGACTTTTATTTTTTTTATTCTAAGAAACAATAACCTAAAACCAGTACAATCGTGAGACCTCTCACTTCCTGCACTTGAAAATGATAACACTAAATTGAGTGGATAAGCCTCTAAAGGATATGAGTAATTTATTCATACTAACTTGACCACAGTTGGGATGATTTGGTCACAAAGAAACTGACAATGAGTAGATCGTCGTATTGGGCGATAAATGAGTACCTACTGTCATTAACTAAGAGAAAAACAAATGCTTTATCCAAGAAGAGAGTCGAATTTTATTCAGTATTAAAAGTTCAAAAAGATAGTTTTAAACTAGTTTTAGGCGGATAATAGAGGCAGAAATGACTCGTCTGAAAGGGTAAAACGCAAGGCGAGACCCGACAGACTTGTTCTCGCCAATACAAAAGTACGATACAAAGTTGGTGGTAAGTAACGCGTATTCTAAGAAGCGTCGTCTTCTCGTGCTGTATGATGCATTCCTTAGTTTGCCATGTGTGACAAAGTACCTATTCGAGCGTGAACACCTAACACACATAACTTTATCACAACATATCAAAATCAACCACTGTAAACTCATTCCCATACTTTATTTACCGAAGACATCAGCTGGCAAACTGCGCCAAAAAAACTTATTTTAAGCACAAAACTATGTAAAAAAATAATAAAATAAAATACAGAAAGTACTAAAGAATAAATAAATTAAAGCTAATTTACAAAAAAAAATATCTAAATTAACAAATTATCGATCTACGAGTAACGCAGACTTACTGCATTCTTACCTTCTGATAACTCCAAGTCTAACTCCGCTAATTTATCTCTTATCTCGTCCGGTAACTTTGAAATATCAACACTTAAGTCAGCCATCATGGCAAAGCACTTTTTTCACACAAAACAAATAAAGTTAACTATTCCAATTCAAGAAACCATCGTGACACATGGCCATCTTGAATTTTGAATAATTTCTGACTCCGACTCGCTATCGCCAACTACTGGTACTAATTCTGTACACCAGAGCCCGCTAGCGCTGCAAAAAAAACAAGGATGTTTGTTCTCTTTGCCGCAAAACTTTTTGATGGTTTACTTCAAAGGTAAAGCAAAAAGATAAAAGTATAAAACGGATATAACTGTATTTTATTAAAATTTATCATGTTATTTATAATATGTTTTGAGATGCATCGTAGAAATAATATAAACTTTCATTACTTTTAAATTTCAATGTTGCCCTTTTAAAACTAGTCTCATGAGTTCAACTGAAATTCTCTATAGAGTTACAGACGGTGGAAACGTCATTTTATTGTCAAAATATAAGGCGGGTTTAGATTATCGTATTAGGAAAAGTCATAGATTTATAAATATAATCAAGTCAAGTAATTTTGTTATTTGCTTTGATGTGTGTTTCTTTTATGATTAACGAGTTATAATTTCTAGCTTCAAATTATTCTCATAAAAAAATGACGGGACAGTCTCTTGAAAGAACGATGGTGCACTGATATGATAAGAGTATGGATAAGAAACAACTAGGAAAAAATCGTGCCTACATAAACTTCACTTGGTCACCCGTAATGGCGGATAGAACTAGGGATGTAACTTTTAAAACTGTAGAAATATCGATATTTTAGAATTGGTTTTAATTGACTTATCAATAAAATATAATTATTTAATGATTCATCTGGATTTAATTTTTATCTAGCTGCTAAACATTACCAACATATTAGCGAAATATATTAGTAGTTGCTGCGTGCACTGTCACTCCAGTCGATCGTGCCTATACATTCACATCATAACTTTCACGATACTTATGTATAGAAATTCATGAAAAGGATTTTCCATCAACTGGTCAATATTTATATACTTAAGGTTAAGTTATTTTTGAGGGTTGAAAAATAAAACTGTATCAAAGTATTCATAAAATCAAGATTTATTATATACAATATCTTCGTATTTTTCGTAGTGTTTCCCTGTAATGTAATCTGCAAAACCATCTTTCGAGAAGACTCCAGAACTGGTTCCAAGTTCATTTTCATGCACATATCTGGCTCGAGGCTGCAACATAAATAGTATAATTTAACTTACTTGATCCAATTGAACATAGATTTTTCTATAGATTCTATAGGTACTGTACTAAGCTCTGAACGAAAATGTTTGTACATTACAATGATAGTGATAGATAGCGGAGGAAAACAGAAAAATATAGGTACAAAAACCCGGTTATTTATGAACTTCATATAAATGTTAAATAAAATGTTAAGTTTGCACCTCTTCAAAAAATGCTTCCAAAACTAACATAACAAAACACGTAATGAATCGTTTACATTATGATTTACCAATAGAGCTTGTAGCGATAGGGCCCCATCACGTATATTTACTATTAATTTATTGTTCGGTTAAAACATTAATCTTCAAAATATGGTTAACAAACAAAGATATGTTTCCTTCTAGTATCTATATTTCCCAAATTAATTATTTCCAGCCAAGAACTTCTGCGTGATTCAAGCACAAACTAAAAAGGAAATTTTATAATATTATTAAAATTATCGGCAGAGTTCGACACATTCTAATAAATACTCTAAAAATACCCTAAAGTTATATTTCATTGGTTTGTTTCATTTGAATCCGTCGTGCGGCATTTAATAAAAAAATCAATTTTGACTAAAATGCATTTCCCACAATATTATTCCTTATCTCATATTGTACAAAAATTATTCTCTATTGTATTAAATATTTATTACATTACGTAGGTATTGGACGATGGTGGAATTTTGTCGATAAAATGAAATTTTTGAGGAGTACTTAATGTTTTTTGTATTTTGTCATTATATCAAATTAATGCACTTCATCATTCAGAATTTAGTATAGTTCTTTGTTCTACTTTTGACGCATTTATTATGTACGATAAAATTATCGATACGGGAACAATCATGTACATCACTATTTTTTAATGAAAATTGTTTTAGACGTATTTCAACTAAAATTAATGAAAATAAGCACTGCATTAGTTAGAAAAGTATTGTATTTAGTCAATTTGCAGCAACCACACTTGAATAGTTTGAAAAACAGAGATATTTTAATGAAAAATAACAGTACTTACCGATGTAATGTTACACCTGCCGGTTTAGTAATATTTTTAGTGCTACATCCAATAACACTGCACCCGGGCATAGTTCTTCTCACTAACCAATAATTTCTTTGTTTACCACGCACAAAAACAACAGGAATTCTACAAATTTTCGTAACAAAATATTGTTGACCAATGCTTTGACAGCTGATGTACCACTGACATGCACTGATAACAGGGACTAAGATGGCCAATTCGGCACAACTAGGTTTTTCCGATGACGTCAAAAAATTATGGCCAGAATGACAATAATGTGTTGTCTCTTTCTGCATAAGCAAAGAGACATAAGTAAAAAAGAAACAACAGTATGTTTATGAATTTACCGTCAAGATGGATCCTAAATTCTACCCGTAGACAATAGCCAGACATCTATGTTATATTTATAAATCTATGCGATGGTGGCACACTAGTTACCATAAACTTACAAGCAGAATATAATATACACATTAAAATGAAGTATATTTGTCATTTTCATAAGTCTGATAACGTGGTAACCCATTACACACGCACATATAAATAACCCACTGTCATGCACATGCATTTGGGTGCTCCACTTATGTCTTAGTGGAATTATTTCCTCCATTATTTCAACGTCCTTGATAAATAGGAACATAGAGAACTCGTAGGATCGTGTTACTAACTGTTCTACGACTATTCAAACGTCATCAGATTAGCGGTCGAAATCTTTTAATTTAAAAATATTTTTTTTCTAACTGTAATGGCACGTAAAGGTTACAAATCGTAGGATAAGATGCCTTCAATTATAGAAATGGTGGGTAGAAGATGCGTTACATATAAAGAAATAGAAAGCGTTATTTTAACTAAATATGATTTATTTAATAATTTATGTACTCACAAACAACTCAGAGGACTATTTATAAAGTTCTATTTTTGTCCGAAATAATATTACCATAAATGTGATGAATTTTGGAAACTCATATAACAAAACTTTTCTTTTGGTATTTCAGTAATAGAGTCATATGCGATCAATATAAAAAAAATCTGACGGCGTAGCCACAGCGCCGTCTATTATTTGTTTTGGGACTAGGATGACATCTAGCCACAGAAGTCATTCTGACGGAGCGTCAGGTCGACAACAGCGCCGCCATATTTTTGAACCAGACTACGGTTATGAATGGCGTGCACAAGACATCTCCGGCGGACCGTCAAAGTTCCGCGCAATCTTTTAATTTCTCATAAAGTTAGAGTTGGATTAGTAATAATTATGACTCGGTGTTTTATCTTATTACTAGCTTCTGCCCGCGACTTCGTACGCGCAATCCCGATATTTCCCGTTCCCGTTCTTGATTTTCGGTAAAAATTAAAAAAAAAGTATTGGGTAAAAAGTATCCTATGTCCGTCTCCTGGTTCTAACCTACCTCCCCACCAATTTTCATCCAAATCGATGTAGCCGTTCTTGAGTTATAAATAGTGTAACTAACACGACTTTCTTTTATATATATAGATACCCACGCATTGGCCGATTCTGATGCAGGCGGGGCCTATAAGTCCTAAAGTCGTAAAAGTATTTACAAAAATGCTATAAATAAAAATGTTAAATAAAAATAAAAGACATAAAAATCACAATATACTTATTCAGATAAACATTCTGAATTCAGAAAAAAAAAATATTCTTTATCTTGCATACGATAAGGTATTTACGACTTAGTTTAAATTTACGGACAATAAAACCGTAATACCTTACTCACTATACGAATGTACAGCATTCGTTGATCGTCACGATATTAATTTTTAATGTAAGTATGTACCTACATTAAAAATATCGTAATACCGTCACATGAAATTTTGATATACCCACGAAATGTTTAAAACTTGAAATTAGTTTTATGAGTGAAACTTTTTTATAAATTACTTTATGAAATGATGTTTCTTAGTTAAAGGAATGAATAAAGATTTGGTAAGTAATACTATTAACAATATAAAGTGAACAATCTTTTGTGTTTCGTGTTATTTGGTCACCAACTAATTGTTCACTTTAACGCAACGCTTTTTATTTCTGTTAAAGCATCGTTGTATTTTACTATCGAGCTGAACTGGTAAAATATTTTTGAATTCAAACATTTATTTATAAAACCCGCGTAATAATTTGAAATTGGTATCCACACTCGATGCAGCAGAATAAACGAGAATTTCATCGCAATACGTTTTCGATTACACTTTTGGTCTTGCGTTATGATTAATTTTGGCTTATGGCAACTCAGTACCATTGTTGTGCTAGGTGGCGCTAGGCGTTTTCTTCTTCCGTCATTCTCATTCGCTGCCTATATAGTTTTTCTTTTTGCATTCGGTATGTAGGTACTTTAGTAGGCTGTTTAAATTTATTCTCGTAATGGCTGCCACGCTAAATGTCTAGCTTATTGGTTATGTCATGTATATAGAATTGAAGTCCGGATGTGCAATTCGAATTATTCAACAAGTGTGTGGAACAATGGTCGTGTGAATGCTTCTTAGTATCTATCTCCCTGGAACGTTTCCTTTTTTGGCAATTAAGTTATGGACTCGGCGTTTGTGTACTGTATGCAGTAAAAACACAATCTATGCCCCGTGAAAAGTGTTTGCATGGACCATATTGAGTGATAAGTGGTTTGCCGAGAGTCAAAATGACGGATAATAGGTCTTCGTCAGCGTTGTTCAAGAGAGCGGAGCAGTTGAAGAGATGGGAAGAGTCGGACACGAACAAGCAGTCCCCGACGCCGCGTCGGGCCTCGAGAATTCAGTTTTCGTCTGGGATAGTGTTTTTGGCGGCTTGTACGGCAGGCGACAAGGATGAGGTGCAGAGACTGTTGAAAAGAGGCGCCGACATCAACACTGCCAACGTTGACGGCCTCACTGCTCTCCATCAGGTAAGCTAGCTGGTGTACACCGCTTACATTTCCTAATCTCCTTTACTTCACACATATTGAGAGTCATCTCTATTGATATGAGGGAAATTATTGTCCAAACATCATTCAAAAAGTCAACTTCAGTCCTCAATTCCTAGATGTGTTGTTGGTCTACTAGTTAGTCATTGCCTTGTTGGAATCTGTTTTGATACTTCAGATTCAATAGCATGTGCTTGAAGTAATTTTAATGGAGCAGAATTCACTTGTCAATCTGGTTTGTCTTTTCAAACAATTAGTAAGAGGTTTAGTGTAGTGATCAAGCCGAGTAACTCAGTCCAAACCAATTGTGTATACATCCATGTAGCAGTTATAGCACTTTTTAGCTACAATAAGTTAGCAATACTGGGATATAAATATGATCTAGAATCAGAGTCTTACCTTAATACTTAATATTTACAACCAAAGATGGGTAGGTAGAACATAATGTTCTATGAGTATTTAAATAAGAATTAAACAAACAATTTGAATTAATTTTAAAGTTCTTGTTCCTGTTCTATAGTTTAAGTATCATACAACTGTGTTATCTCACAAATATCTATGATAATTTCCATCTTATTTATTATACCTATGGTTTAATAAATAAGATGGTGATGAAGATATGTGTTTTGTAATATCATTTCACATTATTCGGACACAAGTTTTGGTACATCTGTCATAACATAACCTAATTGAATTGTTTTCTGTTATGACATGAACCTGCAACAAAAGAAACAGAATTAGGTTCCTGCAATATGGATATATAACATTTTCAGAAACACAAAATCTCTTAAAAAGTATTTTATACTGAATTATGCCTACATTTATGGGATCTGGGATTGCTAAACTAAACTTATTATTAGTTAGGATCACTTATACTAAAAACATACCTGCATATTTTTTTATATATATATTACATTTCTTATTCTCCACAGACTCTTGTACCCTTGTCTATCAATTAAATTTTTTTATTTTTTTAATGTAAAAATTACCTACTAAGTACCTACATATTAGCACTGCATACAATATTGATTATATGACTATACAATTTGATGACTTTGTACTCACACTATGCTAATAATAAGTAAGTTTGATTACCAGTATGCGTTAAATATAAAGAAGTTAAAATTTCCTTTCATTTAGATTACCATTTTATGCATAGTACCCTAATACCTACTATATTGCAACATTTACACTTATGTTTTGTCATGTGTGGCTTTTTAGGAAAAATATGCAGATACATTACTAAAGCTGATCTTCATATATGATTTTAATTTACCAGTGGTTTCTAAAAATGTTTGTCCAAAAATATAAAATTGGTATGAAATGCAATTCCTGACAAATAAATTAACTAAAAATTGAATTGGCGATATTAGTTTCGAACCACATAGGGGTTCTTCCTCGTCAGCAGCATGCGCGGTCGCGGCGATGTCGCGCAGCCTACTCAAGTAGCTTAGTAAAGAAACCGATTATTAGTAATGCCCCAGCATTAAGTCTGCTTATGTACCCTCAAGAATAAAATATATGTTTTAGGCTATTGAGTGCAATACTGTAGCAAAATTGGTTAAAAGCCTAGCCTTTGCACAAAAATTTTTAAATGCATTAGTTCGCTTGCAATTTGTTACGGATTAGTTAATATGTTGGAACATAAACATTTTGTTTTTTATTTGTGATTTGTTCTCATAATAAAAAAACTGATTAGACATTTCTCATTCACTATGCCATAAGTTTTCATATAATGTAAGAGTGTTTATGCAGATTGATAATTCATAAAACTTTTTCATTGAGTGAGGCAAAGCATTCACATATATCCTGGTCATTCCTGTGGGTAGTTAAGAGAATATTCATTTTAAGTGATTGCTTCATTACATAATTATGTTTAATTATCTTAAAATAATAATATATAAGAACAAAAAGATGACACCTTTTGTTTTTTTAAAGAGTAGACAGTTAATCATGCACCTCTGCATGAAGAGGTCAATTATATTGCTATGGGGTGATATTATTATTTGAATACTTTTTTATTAAACTGAAGTAGTTCTGTCAGCCCCAAGTTTTAATTAAGTATGTGAGTCATGTGGTTACATGGATCCGGTAGCGCTGAGTTTAGAGTTGTAACTTAACACCACACTAGGTATGCATTTGGAATTTTCTGTTAGACATAAATATTGTTACAACAGCTATTTATTCAATTACAAACCTTATGTTGGAAATTCAAGAATGTACAACTATCACTGTGCAAAAAATATTACTCTTTTTTTTATTACTACATTTTACTAAAGCAGCATAAAAATGTGTAAAGTTAGGATTAGGAATCCAGTTGGAATCCAACTCACTTTGTTAAAGTCTTAGAACATAGTACTAAATTTTACATTAGGTACTTTAAAATGGGTTACATTTGTCAGATATGCGGTATATTCAATATTAGATGGTAGGCAGATTTGCAGTATCCCAAACAACAAGTTGCCTCTCCGTTCGGAGTGTAGTTATCTTAAATAAATTGTTAATAGTATGTAATAAATTGTTTTACATTTTCACAATATATTTTATAACAACTTATGTTTTACACTGCCTTGAATAAATATTGTCTAGCTGAAATTCAATCATATTTTGATATAAATAATTAGGTATTCAGTTCAGTCATACTGTTTTGTAACTATGTAGTTTACTACCTGCCTATTACAGGAATACTCCCTCTAACTATGCCTTTTAGTTCTTTTTCATGTAATGATAAAAACTCTTAAATCATGTTAGATTTCTCTAACTATTAATTTTTATTGATCATCATTTACCTAGTGGTAATCTAGTATACTCAGTGGTTTGATTAGTTTATTTTAAAACGAGGAAATTATAGCAGAATTATTCAGAATGCATACAGTTACATAAACTTTTCAGGCAATTGGCATAAAAAAACTAAATTGTAATACCTAATCTGTGTTTATTTTTTTACACTTGAAACCATTTAAACTGTCAAACACCAAGCGGTCACCAGTGACTGCAACCTACTGTTCTATAATTGTGTCTATAATGACGGTACTCGACGAGTTAATCACTAATTTTGTTTCAATAGGCATCTTGAAAGTTATAAGTACCTACCTAGAAAGAATATAATTTGTATTTATATAGATGAACTATTTTTCATATAATAGGGTAGATACCAAATTTTTATTAATGTCCGCCTGGTAGATTATTTTAAATCATTAGACATGTATTTTTATTTTCTTACGAATACTTTCGACGATATATTGATATGAAATGTCGCGTGACGTCACTTCTATTAATATTTTATACGTAGAAATGACGTTTTAGCCTCCACTCTTAAACTTTGATTCGTTTTATCTATGTATTGTTTTTTTTTATACGACAAAATCAAATAATACGTGTCTAATATTTTTTCATTACCTAACTTACAAACTAATTAGATTTTTAATTTGCATACCCTGTCATCATCCCAATTCAGAATTTAATCAACATTTTTAGGACCAAAACAAGTTACATATTCTAGTTCACTTTAGACATTTTAATTATTTTCACCAAACCAAAAATTAAGTGGCTACTGTAATATCCATAGAGGTACAATCTTTTAATTCAAATGTAGGTAGTTGTAGTATAGTTTTATTGAATTTAATTAACTATTGATTGAAAAGTGTCGTGGTGGCCCGGAGGTTTAAGACGCCTGCTTCTCATGCATGAGGGTGCGGGTTCGAAACCTACCAACGGCAAGTACCAATGTGACTTTTTCCGAGTTATATGTACTTGCTAAGATTATTTAGACACCATTGACAAACGGTGAAGGAAAACATCGTAAGGAAACCTGGGCTTATAATTTCTAAAAGTCTGTAATCGCCAACCCGCATTGAGCAAGCGTGGTGATTAATGCTCTAACCTTCTCTGTGTGAGAAGAGGCTCTGCTCAGCAGTGGGCACTTATAGGCTGTTGATGATTGATTGAAATTATACAGAAACTATATTGCGTGCCAAATATATACTGACTTGAATATACATAAAAATTATATCGATTCTTCCTGAAATTTAATTGATATATTTCTAATCGACTTCCGCAAATCGTTGTTTCGAATAGAACGCGGCATACCGAGTCACGTGTGTCGGTTTAGCACTCGGAATAACTTTCGATTGTTTCGACCGAACACAACGTCACCGGTACAGAATTAGAATCTGACTGTCTACAGCACTATCTCATACGTCACCGTGTACATTGCTGGCTTAAATCGAAGCGACGCGTCTGCTGACATACCTAAGCGTCGTTGTATAAGCGCCGCCTTAAAATCTCCCAATGCCGCGAAATAATTTTACGATTAGTATTTTAAGGGCTAATTAATAATTCTTGTACTACATCGCTTTTCGAGCCCTATAGTAGGAATTAAAGTACTATTAAATCAATATAAGGTCGTAGGGTACATTCGCCTACACAAGTTTTGTCTAATAATCCAGTCAGTGACCGCAGGAAAGTATTAACAAGTTTTAATCGAGACAATTAATGTTCTCCCATACGCGTCTTGGAGAGCGCAATTCTAAATGTACTGTTCACTTTATTGTAATTTACATCTCTGAATAAACACTGCGATAATCCCTGTGACCAGTTAACGACTTAATAATGTTTTTGAACTTGAATAAAGTATCTACGTCTTTAATACACAAATGCTTTGGAAGCTTCTTCCTCAAAAAGTATAAAGACCTGATTAGAAGTACAAGTTACATACATAGGCACTCTAATGGTGGTTTTCTCCATAAAGAAATATGCCTATGAATTGTTATCGATTTTCTATTTGTAATTAGTTTATTTTTAGCCGAGCTAGCTAGTTATGAATACTTACGTCGTGTCACTTTCCAACTGCGATCGATAAACGTGCAACGTGTTCCAGGATTACATTAAAATGTAGGTACCTAGTTAATTTGTTTTTAGAACCGACTGGCTACTCTATTAGGTGGATATTTTAGCTATGAATCTAATAAACATAATTGTAA